CTTCCCTTACTTTGGGGTCACCAAAAAATAACCTGGCCGTGATTATATAATTTCCTTCCTTTTGTTAAGGCTACACAGTGGAAATTCAAGTAACTAAGAGGAAATCTACATGTATTTGTGAAAATATTAATATCCGCCTGTATCCTGCGAAAAAGTTGCAATAACATTTCCGATTTATCATCTAAAAGCTATTAAGAAGGAGAATTATCTGTCGTTATCATCTTTCCTAATTAAATTTGGATCATGATCAATGACTTGTTCTTTTAAGATGAATAGGCGCATAAATCTCATATTTGCAAAGTATTCTGAGTGCAAAGCCGAGGAAAAACTCCAATTTTTGTTTCGTTGGCAGAAACTAACAGCGTATTAATAAGAACCTGTTCCTAATTCTTTGAGTAACAATTAGTGTGTTATTCACTCAATGAATGTCTCTCGAAACTGGATTGTGAAGTAATATATTAAGATGCACCAAGAAACATAATACCAAAATCAAATAGCTTTTAGTAACAAAACGATCGATTTGGTCCAGAAATAGAATGACAAAAGGCTAAGCAACAGGCAAAAAACTTAAGTAGTTCTTCGGAAGCCTTCAACCCAATTTCACCAGTGGGACAAGTTACAGGAGTTCCAGCACGGCCTCTTTATAAAGTTCAATAGCTTCCCTGAGGCAATGTGGGGCTGATGGGCGTTTCTCTGGTTGTTTACTCCAGCAGCTCTGCATCAAATCTTCCCAGGGGCGCGGGGGCTGATTACAGCCTTTCACATGTCCTGGGCCTAAGCCCTTCTCCACCATGGCAAAGAACGTTCCAAGATTTGGTACGTTACGGACTTCATTGAAGGCCTGCTGTCCATACCACATCTCCCACAAAATTATTCCAAGGCTCTACATGTCTGCTTTGCTGTCATACAGTTGAGAATGAAACACTTCTAGCGCCATATAAACAGGCGTTCCCGCAAAGTTCCTGTGATCTGTTCCATAACCTTGGAAACGCCAACGTTGGTAATCTTCGCTGCATTTGCCGCTGACCGCTTTTCAAAGTGAAGGAAAACTAAAAAGATTAGCAAACAGCGTATTATCTTGTGATATGATATAGTCATCGGCGAAAAAAATAATTTGTTAGAGGATTTTGTTGGAGGACAGGTCACTGTATCTCGGGTGAATTATAATTTGCTCTTTTACCATGATTTGATTGACTTAATTAAAAAAAAAAAAAAGCCCAAAGCTGGTACAAATAGTTCTTCTATTCTTTTTCTCTTCCTTTTTTTTTTTTTTCTTTCTTGTTTCGTGCACCGAAGAGATTTCGTGGAGCTTGACTCTTAAATATGAACAATCTTCATATAAAAAGCTTGGTCACAAATACATTTTACGACCGTCTCTTACACACTATCACTTAGGAGTTCTTTTTCAGTTTCATATCAGTATATCGTCCAACTTGAGATCTCTGTGAACTACTTTTTGCTCATAAATAAAGGTCAAGGCAGCAGTTATTTGTTTCATCCATCGACAGGAGTCTCTTTTAGCATCAGCATTCTTGGAATTGGCAGGAGCTCCTTCTGGATTTTTGAAGATGCGATCCTTCAAATTTCCGGTGCAGTATTCCATGTCTAGTATTACCCGGATTTCACCATCATCCTTGAGAAGCGACGTGCCATGAAAATTGACAACGTTTGGATGCTTTTGTTTTCTACAGTGGCCCAGAAGGCCCAAAGCAAAAAATATACTGCAGAAAATAAAAAAATATACTGCAGCAAATAAAAAATATACTGCAGCAAATAAAAAATATACTGCAGCCAATAAAAAATATACTGCAGCAAATAAAAAATATACTGCAGCAAATAAAAATATACAGCAGCAAATAAAAAAATTATAAACGCAAAGAAAGAAAGGACCGCAGCAAATAGAAAAATGTAACGCAAACAAAAAATACTGCAGCAAATAAAATATGCAACGCAAACAAAAAAGAAAACGCAAACTAAAAAAATTGGAACGCAACGCCAAGGAAGACTGGGTAATAGTTCTTAGTTTCCCGCCAAAACAGCATGAGCTGGAACTCGCTTTTGGTTATGGACGAAAGCGATATGCGTAGGATTATAGAAGATTACTTTCATCAGGGGTACGAAAATAGAGATATTATCGATTTTTTAAAGGAGCAGCATGGTACTGTCATAAGTTCGCTGCAAAACATGGTTTCGGAAAGGCGGGCAAGCAAAGGATGTGTTAGCGGAAAGGATGTGTTAGTGTTAGCGGAAAACTGAGAACTATTACCCAGTCTTCCTTGGCGTTGCGTTCCCATTTTTTTGTTTGCGTTGCATATTTTATTTGCTGCGGTATTTTTTGTTTCCGTTGCATTTTTTATTTGCTGCGGTACTTTTTTTCTTTGCGTTTTGATTTTTTTATTTGCTGCAGTATATTTTTTAGTGGCTGCAGTATATTTTTTATTTGCTGCAGTATATTTTTCATTTGCTGCAGT